ATACTCTTAAGTGAAATAAATAGAACACACGTGTGAATACCCAATAGTTTCTCTAGTGTGAGAAACTGAAAGTGTAAATAAGGACTAAAAGGTATAATAGGTAATGTGAAATAGGAAGAAAATGGGCAAAGGGGAAGGGGATGTGGGAGGGGTACAGGAATGGAATTAATATGAGAAAATGAAAAAGTGGAAACAAAGTCTGTAGATAGGGAGGGATGGAGTGCTTGAAGGGAGGGCAGAAGAAGAGGGAAAAATAAGAACCAAGAGAGATTATGTAAAGGTGCAAATTTCTGATGATGAATGTCATTATATTGTATACCTAAAATGTACCAGTAAAATTAAATTTAAAAAAAGAAAAAGAAGAACAAACAAAGAGGGAGGATGAACAAAAGTATTACAGGTAGTTAAAAAATGAATGACAAATGGACCAAAAAGCAAATGAAATGCTGAAGAGTAAAGCAGAAGTACATATTACAGATTACTGTGGTAAGATAAATAAAGGCCTGGAATCAGATATATTTCTAAAATGCCCGCTCCACACTTCACTTGATAGGGAAAAATTTTAGATAACATAGTAGATTGAATATTAAGGTAGTTGTAAAAGCAAAATAAGTAATGTGCTCCTTTAAGATTTGATTTTCTTGTAACTCTCTTGTTTAAAGTGAGGGTAATCTGACTCTTTAACCAGTAACTTCATTAACCTGACAAAGTTTCAATGACTGGGCAAATTTACAATGTGTATGTGCCTATCTTGTGTCTGCGACTTGTAAATGGGAACTGAAATTGTATTTACACATCGAAGACCACTAGGGATGAGATAATGGCTAAAAAGGATATCAAAAGGAAAATGCTGAACAAGGGGCATGGGGATATTAACCAGACTGGTTTCTGATGGTCCTGCCCACTTGCAGCAAGTAGAAATTTTATTATTTTACCTAAATTCTGTGTCTCCGTGTATTTCTTTCCGAGATTTCTGGAACACACTCTCCAGCACAGTTTCCTGACCTCTGTTTGTTGATATGGAAAATGAAGCAGTCAATATGGAAAATGAAGTTTCCCACTGGGAAACTGTCCTTTCACAAATGTTTATTGGGGGCTTACTGTTTCCTGCCCTCCTTATCTATGGATTTTGCATTTAAATGCTTGAAAGAATATATTATGTTTGCACAGAATGTGTGTGGCCTTTTTTCTTAGCATCATTCCCTCAACAATACAGTATAACCATGTGCATGAAATTTACCTGTATTAGGTAATATAAGGGACTTGGAGATGTTTTCAAGTAGGTAAAGGGGGTGGGTAATATCACACCATTTCCTACAAGGGACTTCAGCATCTGCGAGTTTTGTTATCCTTGGGGTTCCTGGAACCAGTTTCATGAGAACATCAATGACAACTGTTTTGTGTCAGGCACTGGAGAGACATCAACAAACAAAGATGGCCCACACCTTCTGGGGGCTTCCATCTTAAAGGTACTGTAGATTAAGGATTCTGATTTGCTCAGGCCTGTGAGGAGGGGCTTGGGTAAGGGGAGGAGGAAGGCAAAGTGTGGCCCAAATATCATGCTGCCTGGGTGTTTCTGGCCTGCTGTGTGCAGAGGGCTTGAAATTAGGCTCCACATGATTTTGTCCCCAAAGTCTGTCACATCATTTATTAACACATGTGCACACACAGGTATTACATTATCCATCATCACTACCATCTTTTGAAGTTCACTTTCACAGAGGCATGAACAGAGGCTCAGAGAGGGTGGGTCACTATGCCAGTCACACACTCCATCCACAAAATCAGGGTTCTCCTCCAAATGACCTTCTTTGACAACTCAGGCCAGTCAAGGACACTCACAGAGAGAGAGGGCCATGTGTTTTATGTAATAGAAAAATAATCTCCTCTGATGCAGGATGATTATCACTAATTGAGCGTTTGGTGTCTTGGGGATGTCACCTGCATAGTCTTTTGACCTTCAGGAACCTGTATACTGCAGAAGCTATTGCTGGTCTTATTGTGCTGATAAATGACATTGATCAGCCTCCACCCAGGGCTTTCTAGCTGATCAAGGGCCGGATCATCATGCGGGTGGCACGCAGAGAATATGTGGGGCCATGGGTGTGGTGCCAGCGGATGCCATTGATCTTGTGCAAGTGCTGGTCAGCTGGGTAGTAGATACCATTGAGGTTGGAGGCACCGCAGGCAGCAAACCACCACCCTGTGGAAGAGGGCAACATGATGATTAAGGCTATTGACTCCTTGGGGTACCAACTGGCTGAAGAGGCAGTCAGTGCAAAACAAACTCTGCTCAGCCAGGCCCTCTAGAGGGCAGTGGGAGCCTCTGGCCACCCCTCCAGCCCCCTCTGTGATCTGTGTACCTTACTTCCTGACCACCCAACCTTCTGATTCCCTCACAGTTCCTATCACCTTCTGTAGGTATCTGGTGGCCTCTGTATTTATCCATGAGCCTCTCTCTTTTGGTGATCTTCATATTGTGTCATACTGTGTGCCTCTCTCTGGTCAAAATCATCCCTGTTGGCTATCTCTCTCTGGTCTCTGTCACTTTATCTCCTCCAGGTCACTGTCCCCATGCACTCAGTCCTTTCCTGGCCATGCCCAGGGCTGCACTTCTCTCCAGCTCTCCCTCTGCCTTCCCTGCCCAGGGCAGCTCTGTCTCCATTGGTCCCATTTGTATCAGCCTCTGTCTCTCCCTGCTCCCATCTGTCTCTGTCTCTGTGGCTCAGGTCTCTCCTGTCTCTCTCCTTCCTGCTCTGTCTCTGACTCATCCCATCTCCGCCTCTCTGACCTCTGTCCCAGCCCAGAAGCACTGCCTGAGCCGCAGTTGGTGGGGAGCTGTACCCTGCCACGCCTGACCTCTGGGTTAGGAGGAGAAGTGTCTTGAAGAGGACCTTAGGGCCCAGCAGAGAAGGTGGCGCTGACCCTAACTCACCTCCAGACATTGTCTTCGAGCACTCACAGAGGCAATTGTCATGGTCTGCGTCACTGGTGCTGAAGTTGCTGTTCTCAAGGATCAGCTGGCCCTGGAGCAATGCCACACCGCTGTGCTTGTCTAGAAAAATCCTGCAGATGCCCCAGAGGTGGTGATAGGGAAGGGTAGCAGAGTCAGATTGGGGCCATGTTGAGGACATGTTCCTTGTGTCCACTTGCCTCTCCCAGGAAGCCCTCCATGTGGCACAGCAGCCCACAGAGAGCTACACCCAGGGAACCCCCAGCTCTATGAGCTGCACATCAGCAGGCAGCTGGGGGAGGGGGAGTTATATTCCTTGGCCAGACTCTGTGGTCCTGGCAGGCACAGCCAAGGCTGCCTGGTGCTGACAGCCATTAACCTGGATTCAAACCTCAGCTCTGTGTGGCCTCGGAAAGACTGGTTCACCTCCCGGAGCCTCAGTCTCTTCATCTGTGCATGTGGAAACCACAGAAATATTGACAGAGATCTTGTTCATTGTGTGGTTTGGTGACACCATCATGTAGAGTGTGTAGTGGTAAAAGCGAATGGACCTCATGTGTGGCAGGGAGCTCAAGGAAATACTGGTCCTTAGGGCAAGGCCAAGGAGATGCCCCTGGTGTAACCCAAGGGAACATGGGCATGGGTATGTGGTTGGTGCTGTCCCCTGGGTTTCATCTATGGGCTCTGTCTGTTTGGAGTGAGAAGAGGCATGGCCCTCTGGGTCCCAGTGGCCATGACAGCCATGATATCCTTCTATTCCCTTAAACATGCCACCCTGAGCTCTGGGGCTGGTGTGGCACAGCCCCCTGTAAAGAGGCTGCATGGCCAGGGGTGCCCTGGAGGGGACTCATTGGCTGCCAACCACTGTTATGATTCTGGCTTCTCCTTGTGGCCATTAAGGGGTCCCCTGGGCTTCTCAGTGATGTCATCCCTTACCCATTGGGAGTTAGAATGGGGTTGTAACCTTTCTGGACCCCAAGTCATGGACTAGGACACCCCCACTTAACCCACTGCTCAGGTGCACTTTAAGCACATTCATGGCTCAGGCCTGAGGAAGCCCAAAGTGAGACACATCAGGTGTGTTATCCATGTGTCCACATAGAGCCTGCAAGTCTGTTTTTTGACGCCTGGATACAGTTCCCCATGGCCATGTATAGATGTGTGGGTGAATGTTGAGTTTGCACTGGAAGAGCCACTGTGGCCCAAGTGTGCCCTCCAGGATCTTCCCTTGGATCTGGGCCTTTGTTTCCCTGGGAAGGCTTTTGGGAGGCACATTTACATATGTTTCTGTGCTCAGCTTGTGCTCATTTGTGTAGCTAGGTGTGTGTGTGTGTGTGTGTGTGTGTGTGTGTGTGTGTGTGTGACCTGTGCATGCCCAGGGGTGTGAGGATCCCCTTCCCAGTGCAGGTTGGTTGTGCTGCTACCTGAGCATCTTTGTGTGCTTCTTGCATTTGTATTCAGTTCTCCGTGTGTGTGCACTTCTGGAAAGCAGGTGTCACATAACTGTGTGCCTGCAACTCACATTAATGTGTGTGCCTCCTGGGAGCCACTTCCTCTGCAGGAAGTGAACCCTGCTAGAGCTCTCATTACTTTGTCTCACAAACAAGGGTGCACCTCACAGCTGGACGCCCACTCCCCAGCTGCTCAGTGCACCTTTACCATGGGCTTCCTGTTGGACCTGCCTGCCCTGTGAGATCCTTGACACTGGAAGGTGGGTCCCAAGGCCCAGCACTTCTTATCCTTCTCTCCTTGACCCTTACCCTCCAGGATCCGTCTCCCAGGGTTTTTCTGAATGAACACACACTCTATGATCCCAACACCCCTTGTAAGACTGTCATGTTTGGGATAGGGGTGGCCCAGTAGGAGGCTGAGTCTGCCTTTTTTTCAGAATATGCCCACTCCCTGGGGTGCTCTTCCTATCTTCTGTCTGTATGAGCAGAGTCTACTCGTGACAGCCATCACCTCCTCTCAGAGTCCTCCCTGAGCATACGGCATCTCCAGTTTCCCTGTACCTTCCCCTTTGACAAACACTGTCCCCACTGTGGTCTAGGGTGACTGTGGACATCTTAAGCTTCACCCTTACACAGACACACACACACAGACACACACACAGACACACACACACAGACACACACACACACACACACACACACCGGCAACGTTGATTGGGTGAGACTCACATCTGATTCTTCCCCAAAGGACCCGGCCAGTACATACAGGCCTGGGCAAGTGTTCAATATCCTGGTTCTTAGGGCTCTGCAGACAGCCAGGTAGTGAGGACCCTTTGAGGCCTGGGTGTAGCAGCCTGGAGTTAGGGAGCTCTCTGAGGCTCAGATAAAGAGCCAGAGGGAACCCATGCAATTCACACATGAGAGCAGGACAGGAGCTTTCAAATTTAACATGCATGCATATGTTTGCATGGTGGATGTATATAATATAGACTTACACACTGAGGCAGAAATGTGACATTTCTGCCTTTAAATTGATAATTTGTACCTCTCCAACTTTTACTTACCATTTAACACGGTCTAGGTGGCCCGCCGTAGATTATCTCACTTATGACCCAGATATTACATTGTGCAGATGGGGATGAGGTACAGAGAACTAGTTTAAAGCCACAAAGTCAATAAGTGATGGGATTGAGCTCTGGGCAGCCTGGCTCCCACAGCCTGTGTTTTTGCCTGGAATGAGATATTCCTTCTCCTGATATTCTTCCCCAAGGCATGTAAGTGGCAGATCCTAGACTACAGAAGTTCCTGCCCCAAAATTGGGTCAGAGTGAAGAGACTCAATAGCTGCCTGTGAGAAAGACTCAGAAGGCTGCCTGCATACCCTCCTATACTCTTACCATGTACAGGCCCAGGGATGGAACAGCAGGGAGCTGGGCAGCTGGGCTTGGCTCGCAGAGAGTGGGCCAGCTGAGGCCATGAGGACTGCTGTGGGGACAGCAGTTGTGACATTATTTGGTGAGTGGTGACTGTGGGCAAGCAGTGTGTTCATGCTGTCTGAGTAACATCTCATGCAAACCCTGCCAAGGGCACCCATTGTACAGATAACAATTGGCTGGGAATGGCTCAGAGTCACTCAGGGAGAAAAGGGTGGCATTAGGATTTCAGCCTGTGCTACAGTGGTCAGTGACTCAAGTAGGAGCTAGCAGGTATTGTGGCTACTTGCTGGGCAGCTGTGAGAAGCAGGGCCTCCAGCTGAGCCCTGCTTGGCCAGCCCTGGTTGGCACACTCAGTCTTATATGTGGCACTTAGGAGAAAGTTGAGCTAGTTGTGTATGTCCTCTAAGGAGGACTATCAGAGCCACCTCACTGCAGCAGGCAGAGCATTCAATGAGAAAAGAGGGTGGGGGGACATGTCACCTCATGGTTGCATTAGGCACAAGTACAAGGGGAAAGAGTCATTCAGAGATTCCTTGGGAGGAATTGACCTCCCCATCATGAGAGGCATTCAAGCTGGTGGAAGATGATTGTGCTAAGAAGGAAATTATGGCACCATGTGAGGAGGCAGATGCCATGTGAGCATCTCACAGCCTAGTTCATGTGAGTCTGCAGGTCCATTCAGTCCTGGTTTAAAGTCAATCAGAATGCAAGCTTATCAGGATCAAAGAGTTCCTCAGAGATCCTACAGCATGGTTTGGAGGTAGATTGAGTTGGGCACAGGGAGACTTGAGTTCAAATCTAGACAATGTAAATTGTCAATTTAGCCAGAAAATTTAAGTTCAATGCTTTAGATTTCATTTTACTAAAGTAGACACAGTAAACCCCACCTCACTGGAGGAGTTAAATGGAGTGTCTGGAACACAGTAGGTGCTCAGGAAATGCTCATGTCTTTCTCTAAACATATCAAGAACCAAACTCACTTCTCCCTTCCAGGTCTCTGTAAATGACTGACCTAGTGTGATTGCCCTTGGAAGGTCCCTTCTTGCTCTGGATATGTTGGTGTCAGTGACTTCCTCTCTGCCCTACCCGGTGGTCAGGGTGTGCTAAGTGCTAATCAGCTGGCTTCAGATCCTGTGATGTGTGCCCAAATCAGGACAGATGGTAGGAATAGGGATGGACCTTTGGCACAGATTCTGCAACCCCTAGCATGAGACCCAGAGCACCCACCAGGGATCCCAGCCCACCCATCCCAGAGCCCACCTGTAAAACTGCTCCTCACTGCCCAGCTGGAAATGCTCGAAGTTGGCAGAGAATGTTTTGCCATCCCAGTCTTCCATCTCCACTCGCAAAGAGTAGCTTTTGCTGCTGGTGAGCTGGTGCACCACCTCGTTGCCCAGCCAGTACTCCCCAGCTGGGTCTCCGAAGCCCTATTGGGTGGGGGGAGGATGGGGTTGGCTGAGTGCCAGGAAGGAGGCTAGGTCTGGGGCAAGTAATTAGGTTGGGCAAGCTCTGAGGCCACTTATCCCAAACCACTGTTCCTAATGATCAATGCGAGGGGTCTGGGAGACCACCCCCTCCCAGAAGAAAGTAAGTGATACATTTGAAAATGTAAAAGCCCATTAAAAATAACTGCCATCATGTTTCTCTGAAGTTCAGGAACAGAGAAAATTAATCTGTGGTGATAAAATTGAGAACAGCAATTACCTTCGAGGGACTGTTGACTGGAGGGGACGTGATGAGGGTTCTGGAATGCTGGAAGATTTGTATGGCTAACATGTGAGTGAACACCTATGTGAAATTATGGAACCTTACACTTCGTATTTGTGCAGGTAACTGGATGAGTGTTAAACCTCAGTAAAAAAAAATAAAGACAAGTCAGGCACAGACATGGTAGTGTAGACTCTGTACAAAATTTCAGCAACATAAAAATGTATGAAAAGGTAAGAGCACTTGGAATGTCTTGTCAACAGTGTCCAGGAGCAAGAAACCAAAACATTTGGAAGAACAATGATTCAGCACCAAGAACAGGGCACATCAAAGCCCTACTCCCCATTGGTGGGATGAGGGGTCTTTTCTGGCTAAGGGTTAATGTCTAGCTTTCTTTTGTGTATTTCTTTGGCTGAGTCCCCAATTTTTCTTTGCCAATTTAATGAATTTTAAAATCTCAATTGGTTCATGAACATTCATGACTTAATTTGACACATATTAAAATGTTTATCAAATCAAAGGGTAAGCAGACACAAATAATAATATTGCTATATGTCCTTGTGAGTATCTCTTCACATTTCTTTTACTTTGGAAAAAGTTAAAAGCTTTGAAAGCAAAAATACTTTACTTAAAATTTAGTTTTAAAAATCAGAAGTCAATTAGGCAGCATTTCTTACTCATAAAAGGCATGCGGTCTTTGAACCAGCAATTCCACGTTAAAGAAACTGTCCCACAGATGTGGTCACAGATGTATCAAAGGAGAAAGAAATTCATTTAAGCAATGTAGACAGGAGTGGGTGAGTAATATGTCCTTTCAGTTGCTTCCTTTGTATTATTTTTTTAAAAACACACTTATCAATGTATATCCTTTCCAGAGTTTGAAAGAAAATTTAAAATTTCATTACTAGGATGTAAGTCGGCAATTTCAAAATGAGGTTAATTTCAGGGGAAGAGGTCCTGGGAAGCGCGTGGATGCTGGGCAAATCTGTTTGAGGGTAGGTGGCTTAGGTTGGCTGATTGTTTTTTCTGAGAGAAGGTGAAGGCAAACACGCTCCCCTCTCCCTGCCAACACCCCAGCACCTGCACTGGGTTTCAGTGCTGCAATGCCCCTCCCCAGGACAGAGGTGTCACCTGCTTATAATCCTCCCAATTCTGCTGGAAGCTCACTGTGCCATCCTCACGGCGCTGGATGACGGTCCAGGCACTTCCATCGGTGTCCATCACACAGAACACCTGGGGGAAGAGGAAGCAGCTGTAATCCCTGGATACAGCCAGAATTCAGGTCCAGGACAGCACAAGGGTGACTTGGCTGATGGACCTCCCACCCCAAAAGACCAAAAGGTTATCAACATCATCAGAAAGATTCAAGCTCCAATGTCACATCTTGTGATCATTTCGTAAAGTGACAGGCCAGTGATGCTTTCCCAGAGCCACCTTCTCCTCAGTTGTAAAATAGTGGTGTTCATATCTTAACCTCTTTGTGCCTCAGTTTCTCTTCTGCAAACTGGCATTACAGTAAGACTTAAATGAGATGGGTCATGTGAATATTTGGAAGAGAGCCCAGCACACATGAGAAGAGAGATGAATGAAGGCTTCCCACTCCTTAATATTGCAGGGCTGCTGGAAGGATTAAATGTGGATGGGCACAAAGGGCTTAGCCACTGTGTAAAAGCAAGAAATGCTATTACTGCTGTTCTTCAGGGCACAATGGCTTGCTGAGCGCTTACTATATGTGAGGCTCTGTTCAAAGCACTAGGGATGCTCACATGGGTGAGATGAAAAGAATTCTTTCTCTCTCAAAGAGCTTAGCATCTATTCCAACTACATCTTTCAGCCTAATAATTGTTCACACTCTATTTTTCCTATCAGTTCAGTAAATGTTCAGTGTTCCATGAATGCAGACTTGGTGCCTGGCACTGTACTGGATGAATCCTTAATGAGTCGGAGATAAATCAGGCCTCAGGCTGGCTTAGTCTGGAGGAGGCTATGATAGGGCAGGCAGACAGTGGATTGTGAACATTTGGGTGGATAGAAGGAGGAGCCTCAAGAAGAGGTCACTGGGCAACCCTAAAAAGCTTCTTAGAGAAGGTGTCTTCTGAACAGGTCATTGAATGATGGTGTATCTGTGAAAAAGAGATGAGTGGAGTGATATTTTCAAGGGAGAGTGCAATGGGAAGGAGTTGAGGCTCTGAGGAAGGAAAGGTCAGCTGAGGGAGAGAAGCAGAACACCTGTTGTGAAGGTAGCGGGGTGTGCAGCAGGTTCAGAGGTGAACAGCTTGCTTTAGGCAAGTGAATCAAAGTAAAGCTGAGGGTAGAACCCAGATTTCTTTCCTCCCAGGCCAGCTCTTGTGTCTATATCAATGCCCCCAACCCTTCTCCATTCATACCTCCTCAATTTCCACCATTGCTACATTTACTTAATTTTTCCAAAGCAAATTTACTTTTAAATATGTCATATATTTTACTAAATAAATAAAAACATAGTTTACAAGCAAATCTTATCAATAACATCAATAGAAAAGTAGTAACAGGCTATATCACCAACCCAGAGAACCGGCACACCCACTCCCTGGGTTGTGCCATGCCATTACCTGGATCCACACCACAGAATTTCAGGGGTCATAAAGGACAGCATTCTGAGTTTGAGAAGACAGTTAGAAGTGAACAACAGAAAGAGGTCCTCTCTGAGTCCCCTTGATGAAAATTAAAGCCCACTGGAAAAGTGAAGAAAATTAACCTGTGAGCATAGAGGAGGTGAGCTGCTCCCAGCGCACCAGAGGAGGCTTCTGGGCTGCTGTACCAGGCCCATGAGTGCAGAGGAGGTGAGCCGAGCAGGCGCAAGCAGCCGCCCCCGCCCCCCCGTTGAAAAGAGAAGACACATAAACAAGTTTCAAAAACAGACTTCCAGATCACCTAAAACAACCCCAAAGGAAAAGGAGATGGAACACTGTGACACTCCACCACCTGGACTCCCTGAACTGGCAACAAAAGAGGATCTGGAAAAAATGAAATCAGAAATAATTTATCAGATAACAACAGAGATTGTGCTCATAGTACAAGACACGATTAATAAATCTAGAGAGGAGCTCAGGAACATGATGGAATCCCAACATAGGAAACAAATGGAATCCATAAAACAGATGCAAACAGATTTCCAGGAGATTAAAAACTCCACTGAAGGTCTGTGCAGCAGAATGAACCAATGTGAGGATAGAATTTCAGATATAGAAGATAAGATTGCAATTAGTGACCAGGAAAAGAAAAATT